GACCTGAACCCCGAGCAGCGGTAATGTCCTCGCAGTGAGAGCCCAGGCCCTCCCGCCAGCTCGGTCCGCCCGGGCGCGTGAAGAATTGCGCGCTATCAGCGGGACGGGCCATCATTGCCACGGCCGGCCGCCGGGGCCCGCCGACCCGCCGACCCTGGCTGGGATTGGCTGGCCGGCCGCCGCGATGACCCCGGCGCCGCGGCGTCCGTCACAGATATGCCCCGAGGGCACGGCGCCGCCCCGCCCCGCCCAGTATCGCCGCCCGACCTGCGACATTTGCCAATGGACATGGCGCCCTGGGGGCAGGTCCAGATAGTGGATGATGGCCCCATTTAACTGCTAATGCCGTCTGCGCATGGCGATATTTTGCGGCGTCCCAGTTGGCTCCGTCAGATGGAGGCTGTGTGATGGGTGCCGGATGATGCGTTGCGACATCACAGGGGAACACTTCTTAAAAAGTCCATCGTAAAAGTCTCCCGGGCAGATAGCGCCACGGCTCAGAACACGAAAACACCGTCGCGAGATCTCAATAATAGGACAATAGTCCGACATATGACTGCCGTGCACAACGGCCCTCAGTATCTTGCTTTAGGGTGCGTGTCGGCATCGAAGTATTAAAGACCTATTGATCAAGGTATCTATCGTCTCTCTGTTGCCAGTTTCCTTGCACCCGCACTGCGTTGTTGAGCCTGCGGCGTGCCGATAACGCTAAGAATCGGTAAAGCCGGATTGCGACATAGAGTTTTTCTAAGTCTAGCGGAACTCCTCTATCCCTCGCGATGGGTGATGAGCGCGGCGGATACTTCGCAACGTACCGACGAGTCGACCCGGTAAAAAGAGCACGGCAATGCAAATTATGCCGCGGCCAGGTGCGGTGGTATTGATCACCTTGAGCCCTGTCTCAGTTCTGACGCACCGCTTCAGTCAACGCCTGGAGCGGTTTGTTTTGCCGGGATGGTGGGGCTGTCGCCGTCTCGGGCTTGGTTCGAGACTGCGCGCCTCGCCTGGCTCCCACCAAGCTCCTGCTTACTCAGCTTCAGGCTCCCGACAGTTTCGGTGCAACAATATGTGGTTCGCTGCGAACCTCCTCTGGCAAAGACGAACCGTTCTTTTTTGGGTGACTGGAACAGTAAAGTTTCTCGTCAATTCCGGCAAAGGAGACGTGATTTAGCTTGAACTGCGCGAGCGCGCGCGCGAATGGGCGAACGCCTGCATGCTCGTGCTGGAATCTGTCGTGCGCATGGCCGCTGAGCACACGGCTGCCGCGCGGCTGGGGCGCCACCCCTAGGATGGCGGGTGTTGACCTGGTGACTCCGCAGGTGTGGCGACTCCTCACGCCGGAAGCGGCACCCGTTAGGGCAGATGAGGAAAAGTGCCAGTACACGTGCGAGGCACGCACACATTAAAAGACGCCCTTGGGCGGGTGGCGGGCTTCGGGGCTGCCGGTGGAGCTGCGTGCCAGCCATGCGGGGACTGTACGGCCCCTCATCTGCCCATGGGTGCGTGCCGAACACTGGCGGCGGACCAAACGACTACTTATTACAACTTGACATGTTGTGTAGCTGGCAAATATATAAAACTCATGACCTCCTGCTGTGATATGGTTGCCGCGAAAATGACATGCTCTTGCTAACAAACGCACATGCGACGTGGATCAAGGCATAAAATGACGTCCATCGCATTGTGTTTTTGCTTATGTCCTCGCCGGTAGGAAAAGTCCACCTGGGTATTATGTACGTCCTTAGGCATGGTAAAAATGCATTTGCAATAGTGAAAGGTCCTACACTGTCATGCTTCATATTTTATCTTATTAACCCTCTCGCTAAAGGCACACTCGGCTTGGCGCTACAAAAAGCGAAACCGCAAGTGTTATGATAGACGTGGGCCAGAGTAACGTCCGACCTGAGACACTGCACGCTTATAAATCACATCGCATACTCCTGTCACTGAATGGCCCTTGGTTTAGCTTTTGATGTATAGTAGAGGTAAACATACTCCGTTTAAACTCTCAAGTTGCATCTTGGCAAAGGACAAGGGTACGGGAAAGAAATTGCGCCGGGTTCTGGTGCGTGCAATTGCAAGGCACAACTCAGATGCGCAGGCTGCTTAATTGACTTTGTGAAAGGAGCCCAGCCGAGAGATGCAACGAATACCACGCCAACTATTTCACGCATGAGCAGCGCAATCTTGAAGTGAGCAGAAGCAGCAGTGCGAGCTGCTTATTACGATGCCTTCGTCACACCATCATTAACCAATCCAAAATACCTCATTTTACTGAAATGTATTTTCCAAAGCAGATTTTTGGTATCTAAGGATTTTTCTTTGCACAGCAGCCCACGTCAGCGGTATCTCCAGGCAGTAACCGCGTGCCATCGCTCCGTGCGTACCATCGCTCCGTGGACCGCCGCGTTCGACCTGCGGCGAACCATTAATTACTCGGCGCGACCGGTCACGGTCGACATCGCAGTCAGACAACTCCGGATCAGCTCCGTTTCCTCTCCACGGCAGGTCGACATCACAGTCAGACAACTCCGGATCAGCTCCGTTTCCTCTCCACGGTCGACATCACAGTCAGACAACTCCGGATCAGCTCCGTTTCCTCTCCACGGCAGCTCCGCCGAACTTACGTCTAATCTGGACACGTCTGACCGCGTCTTCGCTTCCAGACGGGCAGACGCTGCCGGCGGACCGGCATCAGACTGTGCTCGCCAACGGCACGCTGCGCCTCGACCACGTGCAGAGGCAGGGCGGCGGCGGGCAGTACCACTGCACCGCCCGCGGCGACCGGCAACTCACTGCCACCGGCCGGGTCAACCTGCAGGTGCTGGGTACGTGACGGCTGGAGGGGCACGGCCGGTGGGGTGGTGCGTAGAATGTCAGCTGTGCTCTCTGCATGACACGCATGGTTCTCGCAGGTGTACTGCGGGGCAGCATACCCTGCAGGGGCTGTTCGATAATGCCACAGGAAGTAGCTAAGGGATAAGGAATTTGCCGCTCACATTTTTTTTTGACTTTCCATCTGTACTGGCATTGTGCTGGCCGTGCATAGTACCTTTCTAGACGCACTCTGTTTATATGGTTTTATGTTACTGCGTGTTAAAATTGAGTTAGAAGGTCACTGAAAGGGACCAAAACGGTCGGTATTATTGTGTGGAGCGGCCTCCGTTTCTACCGGGTCATTTCAAGAAAGCGGTGCACAACGGATGCGTACTTAAAGGCTAACCAGGCAAGAGCGCATCGCATAAGTGCCTCAATGTTCCCCATATGTTTCGTTGTGGTGATGATGACAAGTGGACATGTTTATGCGACAGTTCGACGACATGAACTGTCGCAAAATTGCGGACAAGTGGACATGTTTTTGCGACAGTTTGCTAATAGGAACTGTCGCAGATTCTGTAGAACATATGGAATCTATAGAATCCATAGAGTCTATAGAATCCGTAAAATCTACGGAATTCATAGAATCTTTTGAATGCTTTTAGAAGCTTGAGTTTGTAACATTGTGGGACGCATACCTTCACGCACGGACTTGCTTGTTCTTGAGATCGGACAACAGTTGTCAAACTAGAATCAGCAGAGCCGCGCCTAAAGAATCGTTTAAATTTACACCACACATCGGTTAGGTAATCAAAGTACCAACTGAAAGTCAGAAGACTTCTTAGTGCTAACCCATTCATTTGGAATTTAGGGAGCATATTGGTCAACGTTTCCAGCGACAAGAGCGCCCTTGTGTGTGCTTTGCTTTGTTCAAAACACACGGAAAAGGAATGATGGTTGATGAGAACAGTCAAATTGATATTTGTGAAGACCTTCGCCATTTGTAAGCACAAGGCTGCAGCGCAACCAATTACAACACACTGGGTTGAATGATGTAGTACCGAATAGCCGTGGCGTGATCCAATTTACAGCTACCCAGCAGCTGTTTGTGTTGTTCACCCGCGCGCAGGATGCGTTTTGCATTGTGGTGCGAACTCACGCTACCGACCTGGGAGGGGAGGCAATGCTCCGAGCGTCCTATTAGCCCCGCGCAAGGCTGGTTTAAAGAAGTTGTCGTTCAAGATGCATGAAAGCATTGTCTAGCAATTTTGCACCAGCTAGTGTAAGCTGGCTGCTTGTCCACTTTTTATTTCTTGTATTACATGGCCGCTTCGGAAATTATCCAATGCCGATATCATCAAGTGATGTGGGTAAACAGTTAGAGACATGAGATATCGTCAACTCATCAAAAACATTTCCGTTTCTGGACATGATTGAGATGCTTTCTTTAGAAAGTGAAATGTTTAAAAATCAGGGGCACATTTAAACATAAGGAGAAGAGCACTACGCGAACATATTTCTTTTGCCCACACGCTTCTCCTAAAAGTATTCTCAGAGAGATCTTCACGTATCGGATCTTCCCTGGACTTATTACCTTCTCCCCACCCCGACGGCAGGTAGCTCGAGTGACCGCCTCTCTCCCCCCGTCCCCCGCAGTGCCGCCGTCTATCCGGCCGTTCATGGTGGGCAACTACTCGACCGGCGAGAGAGTGCAGGTTCTCTGCTTCGTGAAGCGAGGAGACACCCCGCTGACGCTGACATGGCTGCGCGACGGCCGGCCACTGACCGACCCTGAGGTGGAGCAGCGCGCCACCGACCGCTACAGCAGCAGCCTCTTCATTGAGCGCGTGGCCGTACGCCACGCTGGCAACTACACGTGCCGCGCCGAGAATGCCGCGCGCGTCACCACCTACACGGCAGAGCTGCGGGTTAACGGTGAGAAGGCGCCGAGAACGCCACGCGCGTCACCACCTACACGGCAGAGCTGAGAGTTAACGGTGAGAAGCCGCCGAGAACTCCGTATGCGTCACCACCTACACGGCAGAGCTGCGGGTTAACGGTGAGAAGGCGCCGAGAACGCCACGCGCGTCACCACCTACACGGCAGAGCTGAGAGTTAACGGTGAGAAGCCGCCGAGAACTCCGCATGCGTCACCACCTACACGGCAGAGCTGCGGGTTAACGGTGAGAAGGCGCCAAGAGCGCTGCTCGCGTCACTACCTACACGACAGATCTGAGAGTTAACGGTGAGAAGCCGCCGAGAACTCCGTGTGCGTCACCACCTACACGGCAGAGCTGAGAGTTAACGGTGAGAAGCCGCCGAGAACTCCGTGTGCGTCACCACCTACACGGCAGAGCTGCAGGTTTACGGTGAGAAGGCACCGAGAACTCCGTGTGCGTCATCACCTACACAGCAGAGCTGCAGGTTTATGGTGAGAAAGCGCCGAGAACTCCGTGTGCGCCACCACCTACACGGCAGAGCTGCGGGTTTATGGTGAGAAAGCGCCGAGAACTCCGTGTGCGCCACCACCTACACGGCAGAGCTGCGGGTTTATGGTGAGAAAGCGCCGAAAACTCCGTGTGCGTCACCACCTACACGGCAGAGCTGCGGGTTAACGGTGAGAAGCTGCCGAGAACTCCGTGTGCATCACCACTTACATGACAGAGCTGCGGGTTTATGATGAGAAGGCGTCGGCGCACGGCCGGACAGGCTCTTCCAAATCCGCTGATAGTGCAACGGATCATTTGGATGATGCAATTTCATAAACTGTATCGTTGTCTCATGCTCCAAGTCCAATTATTCAGCCCTTTCTCCATCCCAGCTACAAGAAATCCAGGCAAATTATAAACTGCGCAAGAAAAGCGGAGGCTGGTTACATACACCCTCTGGTAGTTTCTCGTCAAAGCTTTTTTTGCCATGTTTTTTGCAGTGACTCATACAAGCAGATGAAACACAAATTCTGACGATGACTTATTTACATCAAGTGATCACTATGATCGTAGATATGCATCAATATAACTAGTATGTGATACAGCTTAAAGGTCGTTTTTAACGTCACGGCATCGGTCAACTTAGGGGAAATTTTCACCAGCAAAACATAATCGAAGCCCAAAAAAATGACTATCGATTGCGCCGTTTATTTTCAAATCCAAAACAGTGCTCGCTGCAAAAACAAGTCTTGACTTCCTTATTCAAACAGATTCATGTTCGATCTGGCCCAGTGTGCGACTGCAGGGCAGGTGGTTTTCCTGGCGGTGCGAGGCTACGTCTACCGCATAGTGTGGGGCTCGTCTGGTGGGTCACTAGATCCGTCGCCGACGGCAGTGTGAGAGACGGGGACGGCAACGAACGTGGTGAAGTGACTGCTTATGGGAACACGACGGGAACTGTTCTGCTGATATAAGCATGGAAGACCTTGGGTTCCTGTTTTTCTAGCAGTATGGGCTTAGATTTATGATGTTGACAATAATTGGCCCTAATATAACAGGAGATACCATGATTATACAGTCAAAATATGAATGCTGGTTTACATGTATATATATATATATATATATATATATATATATATATATATATATATATATATATATATATATATATATATATATATATATATAAATTACATGCGCACGACAACGTTACCCATATTTGTTCCATAACGCCGTTTAACCAGTACCTCAGGATATGTTGAAGTTCCTTGTGAGCACAATAACCTAATACAAAACAAACTGGCGGTCAATAGTCATGTAATATGTTTTTATGCCTATGTTTCTTAATGATAGGACAATGTAGAAACCTTACGCTCCTGTAGCAGGGCTCGGCGTGAACTACAGCAACGAAATCACAGATTGCTAGACGCTGCGGACGTAAGGCGTAATCACTGTTTCTTCCCCGAGTTATCCGGAGTGTGCAAATGGCAAAGCCGTTTCCGAAAGTCCTGGAGTTGGAACTGTTTAGCATTTGGGAGAGGGCCGCACCGGAAGCCCATTAACAAATAAAAGGCTATCCGGGTCGCCACGTTGGCCGGAACATACCCGTCCCGGCTGGACGTGCGGAGGCGTCTCCGCGCTTCATCGGTGTTCGGCGGCACAGCAGAGTGCCAGGGGCGGTGCGCGGCTCGCGCGAACGGAAGGGACGACGCGTGATTTGGGGTGTTCTCGGCCTAGTGTAACCGGCCAAGTCACGCAAGTAAAAGTCTGCTGTTCGAAAGAGACGACTTCGTGCAACAGCTCCATGCTGTGTTTTAAATGTGCTAACATTAACATCTGACCGGGACCTGTGTGTCACATGCCACTGCTGTCGCATGTGCCGTTAGCTCACTGAAAAGGAACATATCAAGCCTTGGCATCAAAACATCTCACAACGGACTAAACGGAAGCTTTTCAAACCATCATTGCGCCACCGTAAGCTTTTATAACAACCTCCTCATGCAAGTACGAGTTTTCCAAGGGCCAGCGGCGATTGGGTATTTGAAGTACGGTAGTTGCGTATTGCGAAGATTTCTCGGCCTTCAACAACAGCGTGGCTCCGCCCAAGACCAACCAAAAGTCCTGCTTTACCGACCGTGTGCCCTACCTCCATGCATCATTTTCAGGATTCCTGCTTTTTATTTCAAATTGTTCGTTAGGATTACTTGGGGCACAGCAGAGTGCCAGGGTGGGCGCCATGTCGTCTGAGAATGTTATTATGAGCTGACTTTGACACATGCCAAGCTCTAGATATCGGATCGACCGTCTGCAGCACTACATCAACAGGTTCGCGGCCTGCCGTTCCACAGCTCTTGACGCTGATCACATTGCAGTGCCGCCGCGGTGGATCGAGAAGCCCCAGGATGTGGCCGCATCTCTGGGATCAGCTGTTTTGATGCCCTGCGCAGCTGAAGGCTTTCCGGTTCCCGAGATCAAGTGGAAGAAAAAAGGTAGGTCTGTCGGTGCGTTTGTGGCAGTTTCATCCGGCTCTCGTACGGAAGAGAGCGCTGCGTCCGTCGGCGGCGTGCATTGTCTTTGGGATATTGCTTTTCCGATCCTGCACAAGCCTCGTCGCTCGCCAGTTGGCCTCCTTTGATGAAGACACGCGCCTCAATATATCAGGCACCGTACGCCCAGCTTCCTGGCTTCCAGAGTTTATTAAAACTGCCCTGTGCTATTTCAATTACGTCTGTGTGGCTGTTACGTTTCATGCAAAAACAGCGGATGATCCGACCGTGTGCCACATCGTTTAATTGGTTCTGTTGAAAGTTTTCTGGACTGTTTATTACACTGTCGTTTCGCTGTTCCGTCATGGCGTTCTGGCCAATTTGTATTTGTATTGAGTTTATGTGATTTGGTTACGTGATTTCAGGGAGTCAAAACAATTTGAGATGCAAATGTAATGCAGATTCGATTCCAACGGGTGTAGAACGGGTGATTATTGGCTTGGTTAATTTCTTCCTGTAAGGTGTAATCTATGGTGCTAGTGCGCGGGAACATATGGCTCTATGCAACTGCTGGCCATGAATCGTGATGTCATCTCATTCGGGACCGCAGAGATATTTTGCACCTAATCGCCCCCCAACCCCCCCCCCCCCACCCCCCCGCTCCACACACTCTCTTGGCTCCCTCCTTTCGTGAAATGTGCGCAGAGCTGGGCTGACCGGCAGCACTGCTGGACGGGATGCCAGCGCGTGTGACCCGGCCCTGACCCGACTAACACCGGCTGCCCTCCGGCGCCAGACGCGAGCGGGTTCGAGCTGGCCGCCGCCGCCGTCGCAGGCCTGGCGGTGCTGAAGAACGGCTCTCTGGCCATCGGCGCCATCACAGCGGCCCATGAGGGCGCCTATCTCTGCGAGGTCTCCAACGGCGTGGGTGTCGGACTCAGCGTGATGCCCCGCCTCGACGTGTTCGGTAGGAGCGCCGCTGGCCGGCTGCGTGGACCGCCCCGGCCACTGCCGGTCCTGTCGTGCTGCTGCCACGTCACGCGATGGGGATGGGCTGGCTTGAGGGAAAACAAGTGTCGCTTCTAGAGAAGGGTCGAAAGTTTGCGAAGGATATTCTGCCGGGTCTTCATAACCCGGGGGTTTGGAAAGAGAAGTTGTCTACGGTTGCTAGGATACTGCGTCATCCATAAAGCTCGCGGTCATTAAAGGGGCGACGCATGATTCGTTTGGGTCGATCACATATATTCGCCCCGCCCTCTACCCGCAACACCAAAAAGCTAAGAGTGCTCATTTTATAATGTCCTCTCTTTTCACGGTGTACATGAAGAAACTGTTGCCTTATGGTAGCATACAGGAGAGAACCCAACGAAGAGCCCATTGTCTCACCCTCGTAGCTAGAACAGTAGCGGCGAAAACACAATTATCTAGTACAAAAAGCTTATCAGTGAGCGCTTGGGCGGCTGGACGGACCAGGAGCGCACGGTCGTGTTGAGACAGTGAAGCGCTCAGTTTTCCTGAGAGTCCTTGCCGTCCCACTGCCAGCCCGCGGAAATAGGCGGACTGGAATATCTCAGAGCCGGACGACTGCATTTCCTTCCGACAACAACAGACGGGAAACAGATGCACTTCGTGAAGGCCAGCACGCGGAGCCCACCCGGTGACTGAGTGCGCCGGCTTTGTAGCAACGCTCCGGATGGGATAGCCGATCTGCTTTATACTGGCATGAGGAGAGAAGCAGTTGTACGCCGCGCATACTCAGCGGCTGTGATCCGACCAGCCATTTGGCCACCATTCCCGAGCGTCCTGACATTCAATCACAGGGACGTACGCTCCCCCCCCCCCCCCCACCCGCCCCCACCCGACCGGACGCAGGCAGCCGTCTCCTAGACGAGAGACGCCTCGCAGCTGGCATCACACTGCCCTGAACCAGCTCTAAACCACCTAGCGGACCTCTAGTGGATCCCTTGCGACCTGTGCCAGGAGTTACACGCACTGCGTGCCGGCCGCTCCGCCCGCCCCCCCCCCCCCCCCTTCGCGCCCCCAGCACGAACAACAACAGGGCGGCTGTCTGTTCCAGTGGTAAAAACAGCGCCGGCTGTGAGCGTTATCTGCCGCCGGCCGGCCGGCTCACCGCCCGGGGCGACCATTCACAGCAGCCAGAACGCGCGACGTCTTTGTTGTTGCAATCTTGATCGACACCAGATGGCGTGCGCCAGTCGGAGTCGATTCAGCTCGGCTGGTCCGGCCCACTCGGGATAAGGCGGTCCGATCAAATCTCATCCGGGCCCGTCCGATGTCATCCGGTGCATCCCGGCCTGTCCGATGTCATCCGGTGCATCCGCGCCCGTCCGTTGTCATCCGGTGCGTCCGGGCCCGTCCGATGTCATCCGGTGCATCCGGGCTCGTCCGATACCATCCGGTGCATCCAGGTCCGTCCGATGTCATCCGGTGCATCCGGGCCCGTCCGATGTCATCCGGTGCATCCGGGCACGTCCGATACTATCTTGTCTCATCCGATCCCATCCCAGCTCGTCACATACCATTGCGTCCCATCCCGTCCCATACCATTCCGTCCCGCACTGTCTCGCGCCACCGCATGCCAGCCCGTCCCATACCATCCTATCCCTCGCCGTCCAGCAACATCGCATCCCAGCCCGTCCCAGACCATCCCAGCCTGTCCCATGCCATACCATTCCAGCCCGTCCCATACCACATCATCCAGTCTGACCCGATCCGATCCAATACCAGCCAGTCCAATTCCGACTCTAATCCGGTCCGGTCCGGTCCGATTCCAGTTGATCTGATCCAGTTTGGTTCGGTTCGAGCCGGTCCGGTCTAGTGTGATCCAGTTTACTCCAGTTCACCCCAGTGCGGTCCGAGACGGATCCAGGTCCGGGTCCGGACGGCCGCCGACTGAATGTGCTCTGCAGAAGACCCCGCCTGCCGGGCGGCCGTCGGCTCGCCGCTATGTCGCATATCCCCCGGGAGACGGCTTCATTTGCGCTGAATGAGCCCGCGGCGATGTGCCGCTGGCTGGAAAAGTTTGATTCGGCTGTCTCTTCTTGCGTCTTTGATTATGTTGCACTCCTTTTCCGTGTGCAGTGAATGTGAGTTTGCAGAGGATGGAGTGCACAAATAACAAGGGAAGCGGAGAAAACGAGACGGTGTAGAGGAATGGGCTGGAACGTTCCAGCGGGTTTCCAGCGATGAGGAAAGTGAGCTTGTGGTGGGATGTTGGTGGATATAAGGCATAACGGGCGCCTGAAGTACAGATGTATTATGTTTGCACCTCACCTTATTGTGGCGAATTAGTTATCATATGATTTAATCATTAATATGATTTGTATTATTAGAATAAAGATCTAATCTATTCTGTATATCTTCTATATATTATTCTATATATCTAAAGAACTAGTCATAAATTGTTTTCAAACGGCTTATACTTAATTATACTTATAATGGCTATACTTAATAATTTGGTCAACACCCACATGTTCGTGAAATGAGTTGTATTATACTTAAGCACAGTTTTAAAACAACACCGCTCAATTGAATACAGGTCTGTTTAATCATATCTAGGATAACTCAGGATTACACTGCAGCGCGCGGCAGCCATCCAGTACAAAATGCAAACAATTGGCTTGAAATATGTCTTAGATTAACTCATTTACGGACGTTAGGACTCACTAGCTGGACAGTCACTACAGAATAAGTACCAATATAGTTCGGCAGGACTGTTAATGAGATATCAGATCATTTGTAAATCAGCCGAATGGAACGGAGTTGTTGATTCCATCTCGGCAGCGCAGATGCCTGGAGACGTTCAAGGCACGATTGCCGCGGTAGAGTTCGATGTTGATCTTGTACTGGCTGTGTGTCTTTGTAAGCTTCAACTCCGGTAGAGATCGTTGGGCTACTTAGAGTTAAGTGTAGCGTTTTACTGGACTTTTTACGGAGGCATCAACTGTTACGCTGACCACAAACTTCCAACTTATCTTGGCAGCCTGTTAACGCTGCCGTCATGCACTCATTGGGCTCTTGCATTAAGGACATTAACTAAAAGTTATTAAAGTCAACTGAAAATGCTATTAAAACGTTGCACTGATCGTTACTCATAATTTCTTCCATGCTTGGACAAGCAAACGTTGGCCAAACTCCAGACTTGGGTAATAGCTGGCACGCCTGACCGGGTCTCCGTCCTTCAGCTCTCCCGTCTTTCAACACGCCAGCACGCCAGGTCCGCGTCAGGGAAGGTCAGAACGTGACCTTGACCTGTGACCCGAGTGGGGACGAGCCCATGACCCTCCAGTGGTTCCGCCAGAACCAGCTACTCCAAGAGAACGTGCGGTACGTCGTCGCAAGCATGGTATGCTGCTGCTGCACCGAACTGTACCTGGATATGTCATCGATATGCGATATGCGAATATGTCATCAGGAATTCCCTGAGCCAAGCAGTGCCCGGGTACAAAAGTCTACATAGAATAAATGCTTATTCCACCATCGGACTTCGCAAATTTTAATTATGAGCGGCACGACAATTCACTGCAGATAGACAATGCCGTGAATAGCAGCGTCTTCGCCCAACAAACCTTAATCCTGTGGATGTAGAATCCTCTCAGGGAAGCGACTTTAAAGTCATATCTGTCAACGTGATGTATCCCCCTGAGACCAGACGCCACAAAGATGTCACACAGGTCCTTGATTACTGCCGAGCGTGGACAGCCGCCGGATTCTAAGCCTGCTGGCGACGGGGGAAATGATGAGACCTGCTGGCTCTGGCGTCGACCGTCCAGTGCTGGCGGCCGAACGCTACCCTCCCCCCCCCCCCCTCCTCTCTCCCAGCGGTCGGATTTGAATACCGTATGATCGTCCTCCACTTCAGAGCAAGCGTGGGAAGCCATCGGGCAATTTATTTGGCTTCTGTGACGCGGGCGTCTTCGGCTACGAGCGCCAGATGACATTCAATTTTCTTCAGACTGCACATTCGCCACTGGACCGGAGCGCGGAACGTCTCTCGTTCTACTCTACGACTCCTGGAAGCGGTGCCACCGGACTCAGGCTTCTTCAGCTGCGTGGCGGAGAACAGCCGCGGCAAAGCGCAGCTCTCCTTTAGTCTGGACATAGAAGGTTTGTCCCTGTTATCAGCATTCGCCACCGCACAGTAGACGTGCGCCCCGAGCTGCGTAGTCTGGTTTCGGTAGAACTTGAGGCCAGCTAAACTGTGGTTACGCAAGTTAACATTCTCTTCAGAAACCTCACTTAACCCGGTAGCCTGATGATTGACGCTTGTTGGCTTGGTTAAAGTAGGAACATAGCATCCAAACGCTTCGCGCGTCTTTTCATCTCCGTCTGGCTCCAGCGGATCCTTCCGGCTGCCTCGGTTCTTCATTTTCAAGATCCACGCACCTTCTAATTTCAACGTCTTCGCCAGCACCAGCCGCGTTTAAGCCCGACAGTTCATAACCGGGGCCGAAGCGTGCGGCCGGCCCGGCGCCCACGCTCCCCGCCGCGCCGCGCGGCCGTCTGCCTCCGGCGCGGCCGGCCCGGCCCGGCCCACCACCTAATCCAATCACGGCGGCGCCGATTGAGCCCGGCGCGTATTTGTGATTCGGTCTCGGCCGGATTACGGACGTTTCTGGCGTCACCTCGGCACCGCCGGCCCGCCTGTCTGTATGGAAATGACCCGTGAGCGGCGGGCTCGGCACCGAGCGCATGGAGTTGTTGATGACATTCGGCCGCCGGTACCGGCCAACTGGGCTGGGCCAACGACCTCGCTGAAATGCGAGCGTCGGTGGAAATGTGGAGCTTGTGGACCTACCACGAGGAAGGGTGGAGGCAGAAGCTGTTTTCCCTCTCTTCATCAGGTCTCCTTTCCATAGGAATTTCTTCATATGAAGGGGATATTAATCTAATTTCGCAGCCCTTTCACCGCGTATAGCCACGGTATAGACGCAGCATAGCCCGCAGCGTTGGGTAATGTCGCTGTGGAATGGGCGTTGAGCCCATGTCCCCCTCTCCCTTCTCTCCTGACCGCCCGCTACCTCCACAGACACGCCGCTGCCTCCGAGTGACCTGAAAGTGGTGCAGGTCCAGAGCAGGTCCGTGACCTTGGAGTGGCGCCGACCTGACCAGATCAATAAGCACGTGACCGGATACAGACTTCAGTACACGCGTCGGACCGGTGAGCAGCCCCACCAGGAATCCAGCGGCGTTTTCACTGTGCCTGACGCTGCCCGCGTTATCTACGTGCTGCACCTTCTGGGGACCTTCACGTGAATGGTGAGTTTGCAGAGCATCGCCACGGCCGCCGACGGTCGGCTGCGGCGCGCCGCTAACGCCGCGCCGCCGCCGCAGACGGCTGGGAGTCGGCGCGGTCGGTGGCGCTGCCGCTCCGGCGCGTGCAGCTGGGCGGCCTGCGCCCGGACACGTCCTACCTGCTGCGGGCGCTGACGCTGACGGCGCTGGGGCCCAGCCCGCCCGGCCGGCCGCTGCCCATCCGCACCGACGAGGAGGCGCCGTCGAGGCCCCCGCAGCAGCTCGGTCTGCTGCCTCTCACCTCCACCGACCTGCGGGTGACGTGGCGCGCGCCGCCGGCCGACGCGCGCCACGGCCTCCTGCTCGGCTACCGAGTGCTGTGCAGGTGAGCTCGACCGGCCAAGGGCGCCGGCCCGCTGCGGATGTCATGTGCCTCGCGTGACGTGCGCTGGCGGTATTTCAGCCGGCCGGCCGGCAACATGCACTTTGTGGGCTTTCGAGTGCATCAAAGCGCTAATGCAATACGGACGTTGCATGCTGGGTGACGGTCGACTGGCACCTCCCCATTGCATCATTCGTTGATGGCATTAGATACGGATTGCAGTGGCATTACTTCGCCGCACGTACATTTGTGTAAGTCATTTCCGGGGCCGTAGAAAACGGTCTCGGCATTCCTCGTGAGCGTCCAAGCGTCAGGTAAAAGCCTCGGACAAAGTTTGCTCGTTGCTGACGCACTCAGCAATCCGCTAGACTATAAAGACCGCCAGGTTTTCCAGCCCCACCGCTGCCCCTCCCCGACCACGACAATACCAGCCGTCAAGTGGTGGCCAGGTGGGCATATCAGTGGAAACGGGTGCAGTTGCCTCCACGGAATTAAACAAAAGCGCGCGCGCTTAGGTTCAGTCCATGACGTCCGTGCGCGACCCATCACAATTGTAGCGGGCCAGCGCGCTACAGCGCCTGTGTTCTTGAGAGCGTTCGGCCGCCGCGCGCACGGCCTCCATTACGAAGCGACGTCACACCACCCGTGCAGTGTACAGAGCAGCGCGGTGCGTCGTGGGTGCCCCCCTCCCCCCCCCCCCCGACAGTCGACGGTCGTCACTGGGCCCACCGCCACAGCGCGACTGCAGAACTTGCGCCGGCTGTCGGCCGTGCTGACTCCGACAACGGCCAAGTTAGCGCGGTGGGGCGTCCCGTCCAATCCGGCCAGCGACGCGGCGGACCGAACGGCGATGGACTGCCGGCTGTGTCCGCGTCCTGCGCCAAGTTGGCCGCGCCGGCCACGCCGAAACAAAGCGCCAGAAAGTCGGCAGAGTTGATGGCGACGAGCCCCGCGAGAGGCACGGCGGCGGACTCATTAGCGTCGGAGCGGCATCAGTCTGACGGAGATCTCGAGCCGGACGCGCGTGAAGGCTGAGGTGGGAAGTAAATAAAGCGGAAGACGTCGCCTGTTCTTCTTCGCAAGGTGTTTAGCCAAGTGGACCGTCGAGTCGATGGGCTTGCGTAAATCGTGTGCTAGTTACCCAAGGGAGGTGTCGGTAGCGTATGTTATCAAGCATCACGCGTTAGAAAAAGACAGCCGGTCACTAAGCGGTGCAAGGTAATTATGGCCTATTATTTAATATTGCCTTTTGTTATATACAGCGTTTTATGTTTGTTGCTAACTGCGTTCGCGTGTTCATCTTGTGTCTTACACGAGTCTCAACATTTGCTCAGTCTCAACATTTGCTTTCTTGTACGGCCGATATGCTCCGCATGCATCCAAAGCATTGATTTTAAGAGCTCTGTCTGGTGCGTTTGGATTTTCCCGAGCTGCAGTGTGCTGCCAACTTGTAAGGTATTACTGTTGGGCGATATCTCTTTTTGCTGCCGCCTGCGTTTTAAGAGATGACGTGGCCTGGTTGAGTGAATGAGACACTGGGGAAGTGCATCTGCGCTGCGTGGTCGACACATACTTCCGCCTGTTTAGCCTGCTCCGTCGCGCCGGTATTGAACCAAGTCCAGTCGCGTTGGTGGCCGTGGCCCTAATCGAGCCAGGACAATGGATGGAAGCGTTGGTGCCAGAGAAATGGCGGCGGCGGGCAGGATAAAGAGCGCTGCAGAGACCTGAAGTGGTACGGCCGAGGCGTGATAAAAGTAAACTATTCTGCGTGGCGATTGTGATGCAAATCACCTTGTCGGGAATTCATTTCAATAGCTTGTAAAATGCGAAGTTTTCTCATTGAGTTTGGTTTGTTATTCAGAATTCTGTAGAAGCGGTGTTTTGCATAGGCGCGCTTTTTGTCAGCTTGCAGAGCATTTGCAAAGAAATTGGCACGGAGATAAGGATGCAGGATGGGAGGAAAAGGCGGAACGAGTGCATAACCAGATATTGGAAACGAAAGGAGTAACGAAATATATGATCTAACGTAATAATACACATTTGTCGTCTGACAAACACGGTTTGAGTCATCTCCTCTGCCCTGATCTTGTGTTACGACTTGGCCATCTGAGATCTGACGCGTCTCTGTGGCCCCAAGCCGTGACGGCCGACCGTCATCAGCTCCGCGCCGCGCTCCGTCGCTTCCTCCGACAGTAAGCGCCGACCAGCGCAACACAATCTCGATAACTCTGCCGACCGGTGGCGTCTAGACCTGGCGGCCAACGTGCGTCGCCTGACCCTCGGCCACCTCCGCCGCAGGCGCGTCTCCCCCGGCGCCGGCGGTGAGCGAGACGCCGGCGGCGCGCCAGGCCGACGCCGAGCGCTCCTCGGTGCACAACGTGACGGCGACGGCGGCCACGCTCTCGGCGCTGCGGCCCTACACGCTGTACCAGGTCAGCGTGCAGGCGTACAACAGCCGCGGCCTGAGCCCGCGCTCGGCGCCGGCGCGCGCGCGCACCCTGGAGGACGTGCCGGCGGCGGCACCGCGGCAGCTGGCCTGCGGCGCCGCCGGCGCGCGCCAGCTCCGGCTCAGCTGGACGCCGCCGCCGCTGGCCGCGCTCAACGGCGTACTGCGCGGCTACCAGGTCAAGACGGAGGCCGTCGACGAATGGGACGGTGAGCGAGCCACGTCCGCATCGGCACCGCGCGCGACTGCGTGACGTGCGGCAGGTCTGAGGTCAAGCGGGTGCTGTGCTTTCTTCCCACTGCGCTTCTCTTACCCGGCTGTGCCTTGTGGACGGCTAGACAGGATGACACCGGCCAAATACAACAGTCTCCTCAATTACGTCGTGGGGACAGTTTTGTTTCACGAAGCGTTGTCAACTGCGAACAAGCCGAGCACCCTTCAAAAAAGTTGAAGCGATCCGTGCCTGTTCTCAGGAGAGCTGTTCTACTCGGTGCACGACGTGGAGAAGGGCGCCACCACGGTGGAGGACCTGAGGCCGCACAGCAACTACTCGTTCCGGGTAGCGGCCGTCACCGGCGTGGGGGTGGGCGTCATCAGTGACCCCCTGTACTGCGTCACCCGGGAGGACGGTACGGTGGTGGCCGCGCAGCTCAGTACGCCAGACCGCCGTCCAGACTACATGTGTCTCAGTGCACACAAGAGACGGCTGACTGTTGCCGAGCGCCGCATATTATCACCTGACGACGGCCAGAGAATTAACTGGCGAAACACTGTGTGAATTCAGGCACAACAGACGGGTACAGTCGTGTGAAAAATCGCTCCACCTGAGGTCCGACTACTGTATGTGTGTGTGTAGCACTGCAACGTGGAAGAGAACGCAGGGATGCCGTCTTTTGTGCGTGTGTTAAAAGGTTTCACGGGAAGACAGAAGAGTTCTGTATAGTTTTTGGCTATCACTACGTTGCACAGGTGGAGGCGACCAGGATTGCACTACTCTCATCTATATTGTACACATTCCAAACATTGTCTAATTCTTCGGACATTGCTGTTAAGGACATTGGTGTCGTGTGCCGCTTTCTGTCCTGCCAGCATCTTATGATCATTTTAGTCAGTGCAAAACATAACAAGAGCTCCTCCACAAACACGAGTATGAGAGTCTAGATTTGAGTGCTGTCCCTGGATACATGTGCATTGTAACAAGATGCCCGACGAACTCATCCTGTCTGCCACTCAGAGCGTTGAAGAGCTCATTAAAGAATGCCAAAGAGTATTTCAATTCCCTCCAGAAATCGAGTAATGAGCTGCTGACTTCGCCTTCATTCACCGTAGTTCGTTTTCATCAGCAGCCGAAGCACCTAAACATTGAAGAACGACTGCTATTCATCTTCATTGGCATAACTTGAGTACGGCATTGAAATCATAAATTGACTCTGCATTGCGGTGGCAGGTAATATCCAGGCGCATCCGATAAACGTGTTAATTAGGCTTTCTGGAGTGCAATATCTCCGGTGTTATGACGGCATCTGTGGCCAGTCTCTGCCAGCCTGATGGGGCAAAGAGCCTTACTTGGTTCTGATCAATTAGGCGCAATACGCCCTGCTCGCATCCACTTCACCGAAGCGAAATGCAGGGCAACCATATCCTGCAGACTACTTCCACACAGACCTCTTCCATATCTACTTCACATCCTGCAGGCCACTTCGGTCCTTTGGACTACTTTCATGAAGGTGATTAGTATTCGTACATTATGCCCCCGTGAAAGGTTGATTAGCTTTGAAAGAGCGATCAACGCAAGCAATTTGAGGTGGCGGCGGGCGTCATCGCCGCGTGGGACCGCGGCACCGGTCAATAACAGCGCGCCGCCCTGGCCGCCGCAGTGCCCGGAGAACCAGCGGCCGTCGGGGTAGCCGTGACGTCACCGTCCAGCGCGCTGGTCAGCTGGCTGCCTCCGAGGCAGCCGAACGGCGTCATCACCGCCTACTCGGTGTACATCAGGTCAGTGAACTCGGCGGAAAGGTGGGCGTGGCAAGCTATCGGAGCTGGCTATCGAACCGCCTCTTCTGGGCGGTTCAACTGCCAGACCCGCAGCTTTGAGTCGAATCGCTTTAACAGAATGGATTTCTCTTGCACAAGACGGCTCATGGCAGCATGTGGAAGACAGGCTCTGAACTCAGTTTCCCGTCCACCACCATTCACCGTTCAATGCTCAATCTCCTCCTGCAGCACTTACTGCAAGTGTTAAGTCCAGGTAATAGTAGAGCGCTATGCCGAGAGTCTTACTCCGATTAAAGCCCTCCACTCTGGCCGGGAGCGGGCGTACCTTCATCGTCTGGTTAAGCCAGGAACAGGTCAAATTAGCTAATGCCAGCGCGCTGGGCTCTGTGTTCGAGTCATTAAAACTTTCCGGCGGGCTTTAAAGTTTCAAATTGCGGCCGAGATACAGAGGGGCGTTCGGACGGATTTGGTTGTAGCACCCGCCACCACCAGGCGCGATGTTGAGGTTCCACGTCACGAGGAGCTTCACATGCGCTTTAGTAGGTCGGCGGCGCCGGCTGGAGACAGAGAGTGCGGAAAACGGCCGGCTTTGCGTGGTACACACGAAGTGGGAGTTGATAGTAATTAATAGAGGCTGGCGTTGTTCATGGTTGAGAGAGAGAGAGCTGGTTTTATCGTTTTCGCTGTTACTAACTTTTCCTCGTCTTCCTGTGGGCACTGAAATGTCCGTTTATCTGATTGATCTGATCGGTCTGATTGAATTGATTTGCTCAATTCGTCTAAGCAAATGTCACTCAACCTTGGCACCAGTAGGTGAAGATTCCATTTTCATGTCGATGTGAGTGATTTTAGAGTTTGTAAGCTCATAGTGTGCATTGTTTTTCCATTCAAATAGGCCTTTTTATCTTGGGGGAAAATTTGCGTGTTCTTCTAAACGCGCCCGCTTGTATGGCTGGACACCAGCGGACGCGTTGGCTGTATAAATGGGTCCGCTGAGAACAATCCTGGCCCTAACTTTGTCGTGAAATCAGCAAGACCCACGGGCGTCATTAGCCACAGTAGTTTACTGTGATCGTTATACTTCGCGGCCGCAATAAATCCCGGGGACGTTATCAGATGATGTGATGCTTTTGATCGATGTCTCCGAGGGGACGTCCGTGTCATCAATTACATGGCTAACTTAGGTCGTTTATAGGCTATTTTTGGGCTGCTTTTGCACGAGGAGCGAAACTTAGAAACTTTCAACGCTGAAAAACGTGATGCGGTGGATCAAGCTTCAGGGCGCGGGTTCATCGGTTTGGCCGCGTGCGTAATTCATATGCACATTCGGTAGCTCGAGTAGGAAAGACCTAATCTAGACCAGTCCGAGTAGTCCATGATACCTCTGGTGTCCTCTGCGGTAGCATTGCTGCTATCCTCCAGCGGACTGGTGCCGGCTGAGACGGGAGGCGGGGGTGAGCGGCGGACAGATTCTGCGCCCGCTGGAGGAGGTGGTGACGCCTCCATTCCAGTCAGACTCGTGTTGGGTGCTACCAGGACCGTCACCGTACTTTACGATCAGATCAATACCCCATATCCAACCGAGTTCGAATTGCGGATCGAGTTTATGGCCTATTGGCGCCGACAACGGAGCGACAAACTGCGTCTGTCAGCGGTGTGGCTGACCTCGCGCCGGCCGGCAGGACCATCACGTACGCAGACGAGACGCGCGAGGAACGGCGCACCGTGCTGCCACCTGCCGACGGCGAGCCGCTAGAGGGCCTGTCGGGCCGCAGCGAGTACGCGGTGCGCGTGGCGGCACACACGGCCGCCGGCGAGGGGCGCCAGTCGCGCCCTGTCCGCTTCACCACCACCGACAACGGTGAGGCGTCCGCGCCGGCGAGCAGCGACGGTGTTGCGTGCCGGGTATCGCGGGTTCAAAACTAGGGAAAGGCGGAAACCTTTGACGTGTGATTCGGTGAATTGACAGATAGATGCAATTGTGCTTGTACGCCGTGGTCCTCGATAAGAAACGAGTTTGCACTAGGTGTTCCCTTCGTTATCCATTTAATATGAGTCCGTTGCTGTTCGGCACCTTTCTCGAACACCGTTGTCTGCGTCACCCGACGAAGCTGCAGCTGCTCCCTCACCCCCGTACTCACAAATACACCTCTCGCAACATGTCGGACGGTCCGACCTGCCTCTGGGTTATGCCCGCCCTGACGTCATCCCCACCGACGGCAGTGTCGGCGCAGATCGTGCCACTGGGACGGTCGGTGTCGGTGAAGGCCGGCGCCGACCTGGTGCTCTCCTGCCGACATGTCGGCCAGCCACCGCCGGAGCTGGCCTGGCGCCGCGACGGCCAGCCAATCAGCGTCACCCGGTCAGTTCCAGATCACAGGTCACCCGGTCAGTCCCAGGTCACACGGCGGCAGCCAATGACTGACGAGCCAGCTTGGAAGGCGTTGGGAATGGAGCTGGGTGGCACCGTGGCTGATGCAGCCATTTTAGACCGGCTTGGGGTCATTTAGGGTCATTGGGTGAACAAGTAATTGGTTCTGGAAAGTCAGCGGTAAGCAGGATGACGGGCAGGGCGGAGGGCTATAAGCGCTACAAAGCCGGTGAAATGCCAGACAGGCTTGAGAGGCTACGGCTGCTTAGAAGGTCATCCCAACGACGTTGAACTATTAAAGGTCAAACCACCTCCTCAGGATTACCGCAGGGAGAATACGGTACCGGACTTAGCAGTACCCGCTCCCGATTTTAAAGCCAAAAGCGAGTCGGATATTTCACAACGCCAGAAAGAAGACGCCCCTCATAATACCCGCTCCCGATTTTAAAGCCAAAAGCGAGTCGGATATTTCACAACGCCAGAAAGAAGACGCCCCTCATAATATCCCCCTCCCGCTGACGGCGCTGATGCCGTCGCTGGTCCGCTGACGGCGCTGATGCCGTCGCTGGTCCGCTGACGGCGCTGATGCCGTCGCTGGTCCGCTGACGGCGCTGACGCCGTCGCTGGTCCGCTGACGGCGCTGACGCCGTCGCTGGTCCGCTGACGGCTCTGATGCCGTCGCTGGTCCGCTGACGGCGCTGATGCCGTCGCTGGTCCGCTGACGGCTCTGATGCCGTCGCTGGTCCGCTGACGGCTCTGATGCTGTCGCTGGTCCACTGACGGCGCTGATGCCGTCGCTGGTCCGCTGACGGCGCTGATGCCGTCGCTGGTCCGCTGACGGCTCTGATGCCGTCGCTGGTCCGCTGACGGCGCTGACGCCGTCGCTGGCCGACCCTCATCGGGGTCCGTGTCGGCCGCAGGTACAGTCAGCTGGCGGACGGACAGCTGGTGGTGCCAGCTGTGACCACCCGGGACGCCGGCAATTACTCCTGTCACGTCTCCAACTCGTATGGCTCCGATCACGTCACTTATGACGTCATCGTGCTCGGTAAAGTTACACTTGGGTGTGGGCTAGTTGTATAACGGTTGCTACAGCGAAAAAAATGAGAGGACGATAACTCGAAGTCTGTTTTAAATGTGCCCAGTTGAATCCACCGGAGACAAACCTGTTTAGATGGGGGCCTAATTTAAGGTTATTGTGGTTTCCTGCTACATTGGCAAGAAGTTGGGATGCACCTGGAGCTGCATTTGTATAAGCTTAATGGTACATGAAGCTTTTGATCTGTTTGGTGCAAACGGTAAGGACTAGTCAGAACCAGGTAAAAAGCTGCAGTCGCTTACCGCCACTCTCCGCCGTCGTCGGCGGCGGTGGGGACCACAGCTTGAGCCATTTCTCACTAGATGTCGTCGCTGTCGCCGACAGACGTGCCGCCGTCGCCGGCGCTGCGTGTGACGGACGCCACCAGCCACTCGGTGGCCGTGCGCTGGTCGCCAGGCGACCCCGGTGGCCTGGCCATCCGCGGCTACCGGCTCCAGTACTGGCCGGCCGGAGACCATGACCCGGCTGAGGTTCACCTGGAGCGCTTCGTCCGCGAGCACCAGCTGACGGGCCTGCTGTGCGGCACAGTCTACCACCTTCGGCTACGCACAATCAACAGGTCGGCGCCGGGCTGTTAATGACGGCGGCTAATGGCCGCGCATTGTCACGAGCGGAACGTCACTCGTGACGGTCGCCAGGCGCGTCATTAGTTCTTACATCACCGCCGCGTGTCGCTACTGTTTCGTCAGCCTTGCCGAGGGCCCCACGTGCCGGGGGTTAGTCCACGGGTCAGGATGCTGGCGCCGCGCGTAAGCCGATTCTCACGATTTAATTACCCTCCCTAGCGGCGAATTAGGCGCGATCACTGGCATCCGGTCCTTAAATGAAGCCTGGGCTCCTTTGGAAAGAGTGGAATAGTTTTGCAGTAGTTCTCACCCCATTTACTTGTCCTAAACGATTATACGATAGTTTTAGATGGTCTACCGTTTGGAAGACATAAAGGTACTCATGTCTTTTGCACAACCCTGTGCGAAAGTTTACACCATTATACGTCTGAGCCGAACAATACGTGGTGTCTGGCTCGGGCAGGGTAACAAACACTGGGATAATCAGCAGCTACCCCGATGTCCGTCCAGTTCTCAGAAAGCTGGGTGACCGGGGGAAGCAAGACTGCTTTACAGAAACGTTAAGTTAATAGATGCGTGATCTTTTCAGCCCTTGTTTTCCCAGCTGCATCCAATGCGCTGTGACTTGAAATACATGACTGCTCATACCTGTTTTGTACGTTTTGTAAAATGTAAATGCTGACATTTGTTTTATGTCTGTTGTAATGTGTAACTGTCCTGTTTCGTATTCGTTTTGAAATGATTCCCCTGTCCAGATCTGGATAGCATGGCTGAAGTATTACTGCTTGGCATTTGTACAGTGATCTCCCAACTAGACTGAAGGTACAAAGATCAGTATATAACGCGCTATTTCCTGACTGAGGTTCCCTGCCCTTCATTGCGGCTAGTCTACAATAGTCCTTTCTCCTGCTGGTTAGCTCGGCCTGGGTCTCCAGAAGCTTCTGTTCTGACTAAGCCCTCCTTGACAAGAATGCTCTCCCGCTTTCCTTGTCTTTACAACCATTCTTTCTTCCACCTGTCGTATGCTTTCCGTGGTTGCTCTCAGTGATACTGATCGCTTCTCCAGACTGCGGTATGCTCCCTCAGCTTCCTATCCTGATGGCTATCGCCTTCACAGATTTCCCATAGACGATCTACCTCACAGACCACCCCTCACAAACTCCCTCTGCCGCCGTCCCGACGTCGGTCCCTTCCCAGACCTGGGCAGGGCGCGGCGGCCTCGCCCACAGCGTGGCGGCGCCGGCGGAGCACCTCCTGAGCCTGCCACGCCCGCAGGCTGGGCTCCAGCCAGCCGAGCCGGACGGTGAAGGCTCGCACCTCCGGTCGGGCGCCGGTGCTGCCCGAGCCGGGCCGGCTCGTCTCCGTCAACGCCAGCGGCGTCACGGTCAGCCTGCACCTGTGGAGCGCCGCCGGCTGCGCCATCCGCCGCTTCACCGTCCGCTGGCGCGCGGCGCAGGCCTCCGACGCAGGTCAGCAGCCCGGGTCCGGGCGGCAGCTGCGGCCGGGCGCGGCCGCGGCTGGCAGGCTGCGTGGTGGAAGCGGTGCCGGTCCGGCTCTGCTGTGAGGGGTGGCCGGCTATTTTAGCGAACATGGCGTCTAATAAGATCGATTGGCGTTTTGTGTGTTGGGTTAGATGATTGATCGTTTTCGGACATTTTGTACTTCACTGATTGATGCCACAGTGTGTGGGATGGCATACCAACCAGAGCGCTCACATGACATTCTAGCGTATTGATATTCTTGCGTTATCTGTCTCTAATGCTATATCATAGCCGGTGTCATCATGCATGCAAAGCCGCCGCCTTCAGTCCGGTGTGCTCAGAGGCTGTTTAAGTCACGTCTATCACAACGCCACGGAGCTTTTGTGCAAGCTGAGCAGCGACCGCACCGGGCGGGAGGGAGTGGGGGCAGGACGTCGGTGACGGACTCCAGCATCTCGGGCGGGCGACGCTCGGTCCAGCGCGGCGGCCTCAGCTCGCGCCGATCGCGCCCGTACCTGGCACGCCGGCCAGCATCTCACACTCGGACGTGTTACGTAAAACTTGAGGCGCTGCGCGGCTTTCCAGCCGACGGCGCGGCGATTGCGTTCCAGAAGAGCCGCATGGCTATTCGGATGTGACGTGCGTACGATCTTGTCGGTGATCGATCGAGCTTGTGGAAGAAGCGTTCAAACTTGTGTGCTTGTAAGACGACGGCCGTTTGGTCAAATCATGTTCAGCTATTACCGCAGTCGCATGCTGCATAAGCGATATCCCGGCCTATCTCCCTGATGCAAAAGCCTCTGACAGCGACTCGCCGCTTCCGTTACATCGCCGGAGACCACGCTATCCCGCCGCCCGACCGCTCGCTTGGGGGGACAGCGTTGTCGCGCGGGAGGGGTCGCCATGTGGGGCGCGCCTCGACTGCCGCAATGGGGCGGACGTCCACAGCGACCCGTCCGGAACGCCCGGGCCCAGATACAGAGGCGGGAAACAGGGTGCTGGGGACAAGGAACGGGAGGCCAGACTGGGAGAGGGAAATATACGACGATGGGGTCAGGGAATTAGCTAGCAGGGATACCTTGGCGGATGTCGCAATTGTGTTGTAGGGGTAGATCTGCTCAAAGGATGCAAGCTTCCGGAGTGTGTGCTTGGGAAACGGCGCACATTAAATGACATAGTTAAGTGAAGTGTTGTACCGATAGCAGTAGAATCTAGCTTACGCAGCGATTTCACCTGTTTTTATCATTATTATTTTGTTCTCACATGTGTTTATCAGCGCGACCTTTGCCATTGTCATCCTTTTCAGCGCTAATCTCATGTTCGTTGTTCTCATCTCATGTTCATCTCATGTTAATTGTTCTCATGCTCATGTTCTCATGTGCTCACATGTGCTTATCAGCGCGACCTTTTGCCTATGCTGTCATCCACCATTTCTGCGGAGTTTTTGCGCGATATGTTTGAAAACGATATTAAGCATTTCTGAGAATCACGCCGAGATATTCACATTTCAAATGACACCAATGTATTATCCATCGTTACTCAGAACTAGCAAGGCTTAGATATTGTGGTACAAAATTACGCCAGTTGTGAAGTGTATTTGCGTGAAACATTCTGCATAAAAATAAGACTGTACGAAGAGCCTTATTCCTCGTAGAATATTTAGGAGAATGGAGAGATTGATACAATGATATTTCGGCTGCATGCCTTTATCGAAAACGATATCAGTAGTAAATACTGATATTCGTTTTTTACTACCGATATTCGTTTCAATACAGGCATTTGACCGAAATATGAATATATCCCTCTCTTCATTCTCCTGGATATTCTACGAGGAATAAGGCTGTTAGTGCTATCTTATTATTATACAAAGATAATGTTTCGTAATTTTATCGAAGCGGATTGAATTTTGTTCTCCAATATTTTGCCCCAAGTACACTCCCGAAACCCACTAAAAACCATATCGGACCTCCTCACCGAGGCCTGCCGCGCCAAATCTAGGCCAAATCCGCGCCAAACCCGTGCAAAATCCTACGCCAAGTCCGGCCAGCCGCCCGCACCGACTGTCGCCACCACCAGGCCGCCCGTGTGGTCAGCGAGCACCCGCTGTGTCGACAGTGAGTGTGGACCTGGCCGGCCACACCCGGCAGTACGTCATCCGGCGCCAGCTGCCGCCGGCAGACTACGTCATCAACGTAACGGCCGTCAGTCCGGCCGGCGCGGCCTCGCACATCAGCACCGTCAGCATGCTCGGGATCCGCCGGTGAGTCGGACACCTCTGCCGCAGCTGGAAGGTCGATACCCCTGCCATTGGGGCGCACTTGTTAGGTCGGACACCCCTGGAGTGGTCTCCGGCCGGTAGGCCCGTTTACCCCGTTGTGAGACAGAGTCGGGAGGTCTGCACGTGTGCCAAGGGCACACAATATGAAGGTCTGAATCCACAGTCAATAAGGCAGTTGGCAGGTCGAAATCCCTGCTAGTTGGACGCCACCTATCACTGTTGCCATGGGAGACAGTGCCAGGAGAATTCTGCATGTGCAAATTGTGAGCCATTTTCGTATGAGCTCTTTTTCCCTAATATGCTTTCACTCGTGATGTCATGTCGCCACTCCGCCACCAGCCGTACCCACCTTGCACCTAACTCCCCATGAGCCTGCGGTAGATTGCACAAGATTGCTATATGCCCTTACAACATGCTGTTTCCGCTTTCATCGCAGCATTAGTAAAGGCGTGTAATGCGCGATGAAGTGTGCCACCCTCACCGTGATTTGCATGTGAGGAGCTCCAGGGGCTTTTCCAGTCGTGGTAGCGTTCTCTTTCGATTTCCCGGCAATGCTTTAGGTGGAATGCCTTAGGATTTCTCGGCAGCTGTGTTTTAGGTGGAATGCCGTTCCGGATAGACATCATGCCACCGAATAAATAATAAAATATCTTAGACGCCCATTTGGATTTCAACAGTGTGCACTTTTGGCTGAGGTGAGATTATAAAGCATTGGAATCACCCGGATGCGTGATTCGCAGTTTGTTCTGAAACATGTTGAAAAGTGTAAGTTGATGCCGTGCAGCTATGACTTGATTAGATGCTTTCTCATGCCACAAACATGCCGGACAGCTTCTCACTAAGCTGGATCACGACAGGAGATATTCCTGACATATTGGTTGATTATTATACCCCTTGTACTACTTCCTTATCGTCTTGAACCACTACGGCCTGTGAGTTAATTCTGTTAAGGGCTAATGAGCTGGTCTTCCTGTCACCGTCGGCGATCTTTTGCACACATATTCCACGAGACTTTCGCAGCCTTGTGACGTCACATTACGATACGGATCGTGTGAACCAGCTGGGCGGCCTTATGTCATTTGGTCGACGGACGGAGGCTACTTGACCGATGTGCTTACAGTTTTGCCAGCCAAAACGTGTTACGTGATTTCATTAATCAGTTTGAAGTTGGCGGTATCGATCAGGGGGATGGAGACGAAACCAGGCTTCCAGGTTTCTGGTTCCGGGGCCGAATCCAATGCGAAGACGATCCCATGAAGGCGAATTCAAGGTCGAGGCGGTAGCCGAAGCAGAAAGGAACCCGAAACCAGTGGCTTTGAAGTTTGTAACTACAAAGCTGAAACTTCAGCCATAAGCTTCATTTCTGTGAAACGAAAAGCCGTGTTCGAAGCCCGTGGCTTCCAGCTTTGTACACGCGAAGCCAAAACCGACGTCGAGGGTTTCGAACAATGGGAAGACAAAGCCGAACATTACAGTTTAAAATAACGAGGCCGGAGCCGAAACAGAATCTTGTGCACGACGTTGCTCTGTGGAACCAGAACCATTTTCGCGTCTGTTGGGACTGCATGGGATCAGAAAATGTAATAATGGTGGTGCAAAGTTATGAAGTCAAAGTGTTCACATGGTGGATGACATTTTTTTTCGCACTTTCGTTCTCGTCTTGTGTACTAGTACATGTAAAACCTTTTCCGGCAATTGGTCCGCCCAGCCTTCTTCAGGTCTTAATTGGTCCTAAGAATTCGGTTCTTATTTTGAGCTTGGTAACTACGCGTCGCAGCCTCGCGAAATAATGCGGTATATTACGGTGGCACGACGGGCAAGACTGCATAACGTAAAGTCACAACTGCTATGAACAAAATGACTACGAGAAAGTTCAGGCTGGCAGTTCGGGATCTGGTGATTCTAAAGTCGTAGCCATAATTCAAAAATGATTTGCAGCCGAAGCCAAAGCCAAGCGGGAAAAAACGGTCTAAAGCCCAAGCCTAAGCTGAAGCCATAGGAGGAAAACTACGGTCTCGCAAAGCTGAAGCCAAAGTCGAGATCGAATCGTCCCTATATCTGCCACAACCATCGTTTGGATACCGTGAAGAGGTGACAGTGGTTCGGTGCCCCGCGTGGCAGGCACGGCCTCGCTCTGGGTCACCAGAGCAGTCCTCTGACCACCCATGACATTGAGTGGGCCCCTGTAGGCATACGTGGTACGGCGGGCATCCTAGCGGCGAAGGCATGGTCAAAACTGTCCCGCAAGGGCGCCTAAAATGAAGCTTCTATGGTGTTCTCTGTATATGTGTGCGACCATACAACTTACCAAACAACGCACCCGGATGAGCTCAAAACACATTTTAAAAAGAGTTAGAACTGGAATGTTCTCTCCTTGTACGTGCGCATGAATATCTAGCCAACCGCGACTTGTCCATGGTGATGTCACTCAATGAGTTACAAATGAGTGCTGGGTGCAAGATCAGCTGCGTTTTCCTATTACCCAAGTGCCCAACGGCACACTATCGCTTACCATATGTAGTCTGGCCACACCCAGAAGCACCAAGCTGTGAGTAACAACAAATGCACCAGCAGGTCACCACCACAAGTCTATGGTTTGAATATGCCCACTAAACCATTACGTGATGCCCCCAAACCACATAATGAAACGGAGCAAGTGTATTTTGATGTCATTGCCTGAAGAACAATGCTCAGATCCCCTTGGAAACGCAAATGAGATAGACATGGTGTTAGTTGTGATGTTGACAAAAATTGTAGCATCCCAGGAATATCCTCACCAGGCCCAAAGCTTTTTGATTTTTTTCGAATGCTTCCCGTCGAGACAATCATTATACGTTTGAAACTAATGTGATGGGCGTAGGTACCTATACTGCAAACAGACAGAATGTGTGCGTAAGAAGGAAAGAATGCAATTTGGTCGGGGCTGTGTTTTTCATAGTTAGTAACTTCGTTCGAAAATGTGACGCGCATAAGTCCTCAAATCGGGCAACCTGACGGCCTGCACGATAGCACGGTGCTGATATTTATGGGAAAGCCCGACACAGCCCACGATCAGGTCCGGCTGTATAAATCGGTTTTGACGCCGATTTATTTTCGGGAAAAGAACGGGAAAATTTGACACAATGTTTTCTGTGTTTCGGATGGTGTGTTATTCAAGTACAGACAACTGTTGGCGAAACTGCTAGACATGAATGGATATATGAATCACAAAGATAATTGTCTGCATGTGTTATTTTGTCACATTGTTTCTGCAAACTGTCCTTTTGTTTGTTGAATTTGATGTCACCAAAACAAAAGTTAACAAATTTTGATTTGTTTAGATGTGACTCATCTTGAACAGGCAGCGATGAGGGTTACGGTGCCCGAGAAGAACTTAGGTTTGAGCCAGTAATACACTGATTTCTTACGGGCCATATCTGGCTGATTTGCTCATGTTATTGTGTTTGTTCAGCATTTGGTGGTGCTAAGCTGCTCCAAATGCCAAGGTTCATGGTTGCAGGATGTTTCGAAGGCCTCCGATTTACTACAGTCGGTCGTATGCCCAACCAGGCATCGATTTTTTTTAAAGGTACGAGGACAGATTGCCCCAAGGGGGGCTGAAGTATGCAAGTGACAAATTCAGAATTGATCGTTACGGCTGTAGAGTTACCTGTAAAAGATGGGCAGTGACCATACAGTCATGATCTTTGCTCCACCACCCCAGCCTATCCAGCATCACCAAATCGTTCACCAGTGCCGTCGCTCCTGAAGCATACCAGCAACACTAATTGTGCCCGAGAAACAACGCATATGTTCCATGCATACGGGCTAGAAGGGTAGTTGGCTCACTCGAATCTCGATTTCGATTTCATATCTGTACCTTACATTGCTGTCCGACTATGTTTAAATGTAGGGCGATGTTATCTAAAATATTGTGTGAATGCTTTTGCTTTCCAAGTGTAGTTTTGGGCCGCAAGCAATCACACAGCACTTTCGCTTCCCAACCATAGTTTAGAACTGGTAGTGACCGCATGTTTGTCATTAGTATCCAAGCATGCGTGCTGACATGATGGGTTGATCCCAGCTGACATGGAGGGATAACGTAGGTTATGACAGATTTCATTGGCAGTGGATGCTGCATGTCTACGTGTAGCTCACCGCGACCTGAACCCCCTTCGACTCTCCCTATGGCACGTGGTGACAAAACGTCACATGGGAACTTCTAATGCCGTGTGTAGTCGATTTTCGAGGGCAGTTGGTTCACGATTGATGAATTGCGCCTTTCTATTGCAAAGCAGAATGCCTGACAATGACCATGAATGTAACGTTTGAAAACCCGCCGTTAAATATTCCGAAGGCCATTATCACTGCCTCCGAACGGAATGACAATGATATTCAGTAGCTCGATGTGGTACGAAACATACATCGAATGGATTGATGCAGGCAAAAGTGTCCTTGACGTAATGTGTCGTATGGTGCGTCATATGGTGGAGTGACACCACCATCGAAAGCTATTAGTGATGGGAAAAGCTTGGAGTGACGAGGGAGGTTCATGTAGGACGACCATCGCCCGTCCTTGTCATGTAACACTTCTGTCATAATGATCACTTCTGACTTGATAACAGCTGGATGGTTCACCCCTTCTTGGGGTTGTTTTCCCAGGTTCCTGACAAACCTGTCTTTTGGCTCGACGTCTCGCAAACAATTCATCATGGTCTACCCACGTACCCATGACGTAGGAGATCGTGTAATGCCCGCCGATTCAACCGATTGCCGAAGACATGTTTCACTGATATGAAGGGCACGATATCGACGTGGCTAATAACGAAACATTATGTTGAAAGCATCATGCGTCGTCTCACTAATATGTGAATCACGCCGCTCGTGGATGATGACGGCAAAAATACCCCGGCTCTGTCAACTGACCGCTGATGTGTTCGGCGTGCTTAACTGCGTAACGTGATGTGACGGCCGATGTGACGTGCTTAAATCATGGTGCACATATGA